ACAATACGAAAAACTGGTCGAAATTAGAACGCATATTTCTGGCTCGGTATTGGAAGAATTTGGCGCCAGCAAACAAAGACTGGCGCCAGGTTTTAGCTGTAGCGCCTGGCGCCAATGCTGGCGTCTGGCGCTACAGTTAAAACTCTGGCGTCAATGCTCTAGCCCCTGGCGCTAATTCCTACATGCCTCAGCAGCTTTCTGTGCTCGATAAAATTTTCCAATTTCGCGCAGTGTTATTTCGGTCCTAGTTGTGAAAGATATTTCTCAAATTTCCTACGTGTAAAATCCTATGTTTTTAACTCATTACCGATGGTCTTTCGAATGAGATCTTTTTTATGCATATGACAATAATGTTAATCAAAATTATGCACATGAAATACTTAGAACGTTTCGAGTCTCATCCACTCATTCTAAATCATTCCCGAAACAAATTTAGGAATTAAAATAGAAATCCTCCCCAGTGGAGTCGCCAAAAACTGTAGGGAATAATTTCAAGCATTACCCCTCTAGCTCGAACCCCACTGTGATCATACACTAAAGTACGGTGGCGTCCAAAAGGGAAGAAGATAGAGCAAAAGAGTCGCCAACAAGTTTTAGGAACTTGTAAACCGTTCACAGGGTGAAGGTTACACCCTTTAACGATCCAAAAGATCGTCAACTCCATAAGGTCTTGAACCAAATAAGGGTTCGGGGATGAAGGTACGAATCCAACCTAAAAGAGATTGAACCTGCCCTAATAATAGGCCTCTACTTTATTCTGATCGTATTCATGTGCGCTTTCTGACTAACATGCAAACAATAGGATTAACCCTAAACCTGTTTATCTATGTTGGTTGAATATTAATGCACAAATAAATATATTATTGGCGATCACTTGAATTATAATCATATTAACCCTAACAAGATTATTAATTATCTTATATAAGTGTGATTACAAGTACTAATTCCCTTTAAACATGCGTAAAAAGCGTGATCAAGCAATAAAAATAAATATCAAGCAACATAATAATAATCAATTAAAACTATAATCATAAATCATAATTAAAATAATCATGTCAACGTTAAATCATAATAATAGCAAGATCATAGGCATGATACTAACAAGATTAAGAACAAACCCTAGCATGTCACTAAGCAATAAAAATCATATCTTTAACCCATACATGATACAAACAATCATAAATATTAGGAAGAACATAAGAGACATTGTACTTTTAATCATACTTGATATTAAAATTATCCTAGACATGATACTAGGAATTTATTGTTGTCACCCTAAACATCAAATTAAGGAAAACATCCTAACATGATACTAGGAATCATAATAACAATCTAAGCATGATTTCTATATAATAACATCAATAAAAATCATTAAAGTACTTACTTGGATGCCTCGTACCTCTTTCTAATAACAAAATACACACGTTAGTAACTTCAAGGAAAATAATAAACAAAACAATTAAATTAAATAATTGAAAGAGAGATTTGGGACCAAACCCTCAAAAATTAAACCTTTCACGTCTAGGGCGAAGGCAACTTCGAATATGGCTAGGTGTATCTAGATCTAATGAATGCTGAATTTTGTATGTAAAAACTAGTTTAGAAAAGAGAGAGAGAGAGAGTAATAAAGAGAATCTTGATGAGAGTTGGTGAATGAAAATAGAGAGAATTGGTGATTGTAGGTGAAAACTGGTTGTTGGTGAATTAAAACGGAGTTTTTACGACGCTATACAAACATAAAACAGATTCTGGCGCACAGAAAACAGATTCTGGCGCACAGAAAACAGATTCAGCGCCAACGCTGGCTGTTGGCGCCAGGCGCCAATGTCTGGCGTTAGGCGCTAATCTTATTTTGACGCGTTTTCTTAAATTAGATAAATTTTGTCATACAGGAGGATAAAATCGTATCTTTTCCTCAAAAATGTTCTTTGATTTTAATTAAAACTCTGAAAAGTCAACAAAAGTCAATTTATCAATGCTAATTGAATTCGGAATGAAAAAAACCTTCTATGGGAATCTAGAAGACTAAAACCATTCCTAATTGCATTAGGAATGATAAATCATATTAGGCCCTCCTCTAGATCATTGGGCCGCATATAAGGCTCAAACCGGGCTCAGTTCAGTAAATTGGCCATAACTTCCTCAATATTCATCGGAATTGGACTTATAATATATCATTGGAAAGCTCTTTTCAAGTCCCATCCAACTACACTACTATTGTACCCATATCATGGACCAACCAAACTGGATTGGCTGTTTTCTTAAAAATAAGTTTTCAAAAACAGAGAGAAGAGAAAAGAAATTAAAACTATCCGCAACACTAGACTTTCCACACTTTCGCTTCATTCGATTATGATTCGACGTGAAAGGTACTCATCACCGGGTTTGGTTTTGGGGAGACACAAATGGGTGTCTACAGTTATACATTGTGATTTCCGTATGATGTGTGCTATTCTACTTTGTAAATATTATTTATACATTAACTTTGCAAGATGCGCTTAGAGGCAAAGGTATGTGAATATGTGGAATGATTTATTTATTACTCATTCATGATTATTATAATAGGATGAGTAAAGGAAGAATTCAAGTCTTATAAGACGAGGTTAAGGTTTTGGGGTGTCTTATGCACTCAAGGTGTTTATACACCGAGGTAGTTAAAGGAATAAATAATAAATGTTTCTTGTCACTAATAAATCAAGAATGGAAATTGGAAAGTTGTTTTACTTGATTGAATTGATATTGGATTGATTGTATTTTTTGTATATGAGTCATCACGAAGTCTAAACATGTAAATCACGTAAAGTGCAAGATGGATGAGCAATAAAAATTTGGATTGGTGCACTTTTATAGTAATGACAATCAGGGGTTGGGGTACATGGGGTAGCCGTGTACTTTTCTCGAGGCCGTCTGATCTACGAGTCTCTTATTTCAAATATTTTTTTTTTTAAACTAGGAGTTAGGTGAGATCTCATACTAACTACGGTCACGGAGTCGTGCCCGTGGTCGTTGGATGTTTATTGATATTTTCGAAAGGAGGCATGGGGTTTTTCTTTTATTGATGTTTCAAATAGAGCATGGGTTGGACAACCTTGTCTATTGCGTAATCCAATGAAATAAATAAATAAGTTAGCTACTATCAACTAGTGAAGACTTAATAAAATTGATAGTTGAGTCGTGTGTTGAGTCTATAATTTAATGATGTGTGGTGATTGATTATTAGTAGCATGTTAGGTATTTCTTATTATGTTTCGCAACTTGTATGTACTCAGCTTTGCTGATTATGTGCTTTTGTGTGTGTCTTTCTTTGGTCATGACCTTCGCCTTTCAATGACCCTGTGACGATCCAATTTTTACACTTGTAATATTGGGGAGCAGATTAACCACAGGTTCTTACACATGCAGCATATGTTTCTAGATGGTGGGATCTTGAGTGGAGAGTTGGTTACTTTTCTTATTTTTGTTGCTATTTACTTTTTAAGTTATTTAAACTCAACTTTACTTTCATACTATTTCTTTTGGTTTGAGTTTTGAATAAGAGCCTTAAGGGTTCCAATTTGTAAGATTTAGTTTGGTTTTGGTTATTGGTTTTGAAACTTATATATACTAGATTTAGTTTTTCCGTTGCTATTTTCTTAATAAGCCTTAACATTTGAACACGTGGCGGTAGCACGCCACTAATTCTCTTGAATATTGTTCAGGGTCCTCAAAGATTTAAAGAGAGAATTATTGGGGTGTTACAGGCTTACATCAGGTGCATCCCAGCTAGCAAGAACATTCCCGGATTTTTTTGAAAAACTGCAAATATGACACATGAGATTCTTCCAAGATGAGAGGAGTTTGAGCAAAATTACATAGATCAGTAAATTAGAGATGAAGAGCTTTAATTTACAAAAGATTTGAGCGGATTTGGTTGAAAGGAAACGACCAAGTTCAAAGTTCGGAGTGAAACCGAGCAACGATCAGCAGCAACAAGAGCAAAATAAGGAAGAACCAACTCCAGCGCCAGATGACAAGGTTGTCGCCTGGCGACAGAAGCAAAGTGCGGCGACACATTTTCCAAGCAGGCGCTGGTGTGGCGACACAATGCGTGGCCCCCATATTAGATTATACGGACCTAGTGCAGAGAAATCCGGGTTCCTTGGTACGCCAGTTAGCCCCTCTAAGCAATTTGACATGATTTAGTAATTGGCTCGATTACAATCACATAAAGTGATCGACCTGATAAAAGATCGTCTTACTTAGCTTAAAGCGCCTAAACATTGGCTCATAGCAAAGGCACCGACATTCACACAACACACTTTGACTCGCTTTTGTGGTTTATATATACGATAAAACATATTTATGTGGGGTCTTGTTTGAATCGTTTAAATGTATATTTTATTTAAATCTACTTTTTATAATTTTATAATGTTGATAATTAGAGATATCAATCGTTAAAAATATGTGTTGGCAAGCGTGATAATAGAAAGGCGTCAACTAAAAAAAACAGAGGAAGTATAAAGAATGATTTTATGGTATGTGATAACTTTTAAAGAATGTTTAAAAAGAAAAGTGTGGCAAATTAAAACGACAGAGGGACTGAAGCCTTATTTATTTCAACGTATTTTTACTTATTTTAGAAAAAAAAACGTTCAGATTAGAAAAAAAATATGTTTAGATCAGGAAAAAATATGTTTAGATCACATCATCGTTTTATGTGCTTTATCACTTAATATCTTAAATTTGTAATGAAGAAAATTATGAAAATTACATATTATTAAAATACACATTATTATGAATTATACAAGATTCCACTTGATATGTTTTTTCTTTATAGATTATCGTACACTTAAGGTCAAAATTTGGTCAAATAAGACAATCACACTACTACAAAATTGGGTAAATGTAACGCACAATACTAAACGCATAGATGACTTGAACGTTCTCCATAGATTAGAGAACAGTTGGCTATGGGAAGCGCCTTCTAAATGACATAAAATTAAACAGTTAAGACCTCACCGCTCTATTTCATAAATTATCCTTTTAATCTTTTTATTTTATTTTATTTTAATTAATTGTTTAAAAGAAATCAGTTGATCTTTTTCTAACCCTAGCCTCCAGCTGTTGAAAGCCTTTCCCTCTTTACTTGCCAACCGCCACCTTCAACCCATTGAACCCTCCCTCAATTCTCGATTTTTCTTATCATTTCTTCATCTAACTTCCCCCAATCACCCATTCATCACCTTCCTCTTTCTTTCTCCTTTATTCTTGATCAAAATCCCCAAATTCATCCCGATCTACCCTAACAAAACCCTCAATTTTCCGCCAACATGGATGGATTTGAAGCTATGACCTTCAACATTCATGGAGGATACTTGGAAGCCATTGTTATAGGTCACGGATCTGGATTGTTAATTGTTGCTGATTACAATAATTTGTATCAGTGTGAGACTCTTGATGATATCAAGATGCATCTCTCTGCTAATGATTATGGCCCTTATCTTCAAAATGGTATGATTTCTTTTATAATTATGATTTTTTTTTCAGGTTTAATTTTCGTGATTTTAATTCAGAGATGTTAGGTATAATATTTCTTTTGAGTTTACATCTTGTCGATTGCCTTAGATTTGGATCGATCTACTTGTTTATATTAGCTAGAATTTTCTACTTCAATTCCAATTATATTGTTGTAAAGATTAATTGTTCAAAATTAGTCAAATTTCCAATTAGATGAAACGGGTATGTTAAGTACGTTATTTTTCTTCAACTCATTAGAGGATTCTAGTACACTAGTAGGTTGTCTGCCATGAATTTGATTTTTTTTGTTTGAACTTTGATACTTGTATTTGTGTTTTTTTGATAATCATGAAGGTTAATTATGCCTGTTTTTAATGAATTTATGTAAATTGGTTTTCATTTTCATTCTACATTTAGTTTTTTTTTTATTTTTTTTTATTTGGTTTAAGTATCAATGATATAATCTTTGATTCGTAAATAAATTTATGTATAATTGCTGAATTGTTTTTGTTTGAACATGAAATTTTAGGTCTTATAAACTTTTATTTTAATTTTGTTCAGCTAATATTTTTTTTTTTTTTTTTTTTTTTTTTTTTTTTTTTTTTTTTTTTTGCTTTTGTAGATTGAACAAAGATAATGAAAACTTTTGCTTTCAGAAATCAAGAAAGGCGAATCTTATTCATTTGTTTTTTTTTTTTTCATTACTTATTGTAATTAAAATACTTGTATTTTACTGTAAATTCATTATTAATAAAAATATTCTTATTCAAAGATTTGCAGATGATTAAGTTTCTTCTAGCATGCACAATAAATTTTTTTTTTATGAAAAATATTAAGAAAAGAGGACGGTTACGTATCACAGGTGCTTTATATTCTAGACATTAATAGGTCAGTTGGGTTAGAAAGGCGCTTCCATTTCCCATAAAATGCAACGTCCAAGTGAAATAGGCGCCTCCTTTTCTTTCTTATTGAATTTATTTAACTATAGAAAAGGAAACATTTAACTAAGAAAGGTGTTCTGTTTGTTTATTATTATAGAACACCTTCAAAATGCGACTTGTATACTTTATAAGGCACCGTAGTTGAATAACGCCTCTAAAGCGTTCTGTTTTGTCTATTTTAGGCGTTTTGTAAAGCATATTTTGTGGTAGTGTCAAATCATATTAGATAAGTTCAGATTAGATGAAACCAGATCAGATAGATAAATTCAGATAAGCAAAAATGAGGTGAACTACAGTAATAAACAAGCCCGACAAACTTTAAACTACATCAAATGTACAATAAAATATTGTGCATCCGTTATAAAGTTACCCTAAAATAAGCAAAATTTACCCTAATATGAATAAAAGTTACCCTAAAATAAATAAAAGTTAATCTAACATAAATAAAAGTTACGAAGTATTTATGCTTTATTGATAAAATTTACCCAAATAAATGACCCTAAATTTGATAAAAGTGACCCCCGATGTACAGTAAATTATTGTACATCAAATGTATACAAAAGTTACTCAACAATAGGGGCGAAGCTACATTGGTGCACACTCGTGCACGTGCACCAGCAGGCCTCCCAAAAAAAGTTGATTTTTTTTTTTGAAGAAATCTATCAAATAGACCCGTTATTATAAATAACAAGTCTCTTAGATGCTAGTACTAAAATGCAGAATTCACTCAACCACTCCCGCTTTATTTTCGCTGCTTTATTTTTGTAAATAAAAGAGACCAGTAATTAAACAACTGGTCTCTAAGCCTCTAAGAGCAACTCCAATGATTGTAGCTAGGGACTTGCTTGCAATATTAAATAATCTTAAGCTACTACCTTGACCATTGGAGTCAGAAAATGCAATTAGTTTGGTCAAGCAAATTAGCTTTGCTAATTTGCTTAGAAAAAAACTTGCCAAAACAAAAAAATTTAGAATAAATAAAATTAAATATTAAAAAGTTATATAAGGAGGTGTGGTTAATTTAAGTAGTAAGTTAATAGCTAGCCATTGGAGTTTAAAGTAGCTAAAATGATAATTAGCTTAAAAGCTTATGTGCCATGGCTAGCTAATTTGACAATTAGCTTATCATTGGAGTTGCTCTAAGGTCATTTTTTTTTATTATCACTACAACAAATTGACTCTTGTGCCACGAATTATGCCACGGGGATACAAAATTCGTGACATAAATTGAGCTTGCCACGGGAAAATATAGTTAAGCTAGAAACTTAAAGCTCCATTGAAATATTATGCCACGAGAGCAAAATATTCGTGGCAAATTGAAACTTGTGCCACGACTATAAAATTTTTCCCGTGGTAAATAAACACTTATGCCACGGTGATTATGTTCCCGTGCTAAACTTACACTTATGCTACGACTAATCTTATTTATGCTGCAAAATATAACACTTTCATCAAGGATAATTTTCTCACCGTGACATTGAAACCATATTTGTGCCATGTTAAAATTAATTTTTGTAGCATGCATACATATTAACATGAACCAATAATATTCATTTTAAGGAAAGACTAATGTTCTCAAGAATTTAATGAAATTATTATATGCACAATTAAATTTAATCACAAGATACATATTATCTATAAATATTCTATAAAATGACATACAATGATTACAATTAATAGTATTTTTAATCAATTTATAAGTATATTAGAATTGATGAGTATGTAGAATGGTAAATTATACGTACAATTAAAATTGATGAATTTTGTTGTTTTCGACAAAATATAATATGAAATATGATTATTTAGTTACTACTATAATTGAAAAATATTTTTCCATGATTTCAAATAAATCATTCCAGAATAACATGAACATTAACTTATACGAAGTACAAACTACAAAGTATTGAATTCTAATTGTAAAAAATAATTAAAATGGACATTTGTTCATTACATTGGTTTTTTATATGAAGTATAAAGTACATACTATTTGACCTTATTTTGTGTAAAAAAAAAATTATATCCTAAAATTACATATGGAGCTCAAACTAGTTGTATAAAAGTATAACTATTCAAAAAAAAAAAAGAACGATTTTCCATAATATTGTTGAAATAAAAATCAATTCCCATAATACATTGATTTAAAAATAAATTCCCTACATAGTGTCCACGTGTAGGATCGTTTTCTTTTTTCTTCTTTTGGTTCAACTTAAAACCGCTAATGGTAATAGCGGTTTTAAAAAAGAGACCTCCTCTAACAATAACAGGTCTCTTTGCGTCCTTGGTTATTTCAAAGAGACCGCCTTTCAATACGACAGGACTCTTTGTGTCTTTGTTAATTCTTAGCCCACAACAAGAAAAGAGAGCGCTGACAATTACACTTATAACTTCAAAGAGACCGCCTTTCAATAAAAACAAGTCTCTTTGACTTTATTTTACAAAAATTGCAAAACCGCTAATACCGTTAGCGGTTTTAAGTTGAACCGAAAACCAATCCTACGTGGACACTACTTTGGGAATTTGTTTTTAAAACGAAGTTTAATGGGAATTAATTTCTATTTTAACAATATTAAAGTGAAATCGTTCAAAAAAAAAAAAGTATAACAGATAAAAAAAAGTACAACTACTTGTTTCCGTAATAAAAGAAAAAAATTAAATTCAAAAACCTTGTTTCCAGAAAGTTAGAAACCGTTCGAACGATCCCTGATTCCCAAATCAACCAACACTCGCACAATAAGATCAGTTCTTCGACAAAATTTCAAGGTTAGATTTGTTAAACATGAATTAATTCTTCGTTTTTCTTATATCTAGGGTTTTAATTAATGTATCAATGTTGATTGTAGTTGCTATACTTAAATAGAGTTGTTTTCGGCAATTTCCATTTTATTTTTGCGATCTTTTGCTTCAACATCGTATGGTAGCTTCATTCCCAAATTCGTGTTGTTTAATATTAATAATTTTGTACTGTATGTTAGCGTAATTCGATTTTGCCAAATAATTATTACTTTGATTAAATTTTTGTGTATAATCTTTTTAATCTTCTGATTATTGTTTGCATGTGCTGCTATTTAGTGTTTTTGGCTAAATAATTAATAGTGAAGACTCTATTTTAATCAATTACGAGTGTCAAATTGTTCTCTAGACTTTATGGTTATTCTGTCAAATTTGTGACTGAATTCTTTAGTTTTCTCATATATATTAACTATGTGTAAATTTGATTAACTACATAATTTGTTAGTCTTTTCATTCTAATAGATAGGCTAAGGAAGCCAGTGTGCAGGGACGGGATCAGGAAGGGAGGGGAACAATATGCAGATAGGGTAAGAAGTAAGAGTGCAAGCAGGTGAGGGGTGTGTGTTAAAACGGGGAGAGTGCATGTGTGTTGCTAGGGAAGGGGGCAGTGTGTAGGGATGGGGATAGTCAGGGATGGGATTAGAGTGCAGGTTGGGGATAAGTTAAGTGTGCAAGCAGGGGAATGGTGTGTAAGCAGGGAGAGGGAAGGTGTGCCACAAGGTGAGGGGGCAGTGATCAAGTAAGGGGGCAGGTAAGGAGGGGAGTAATGCGCAGGCAGGGAATGAGGTAGTGTGCAGGCAGGGTAGGGGGGCAGGTGTGTAGGGGAGAGGGAAGGTTTGCACTCAGGAAGAGGGAGGTTGGTTGTAAAAATTAAGTTGGATTTTTAACTTCTTTTTAAAAGGGGTGGTGTCTTTGTTGTTTCATTTGTATTATTTGACTATTTGTATTAGTTGATTCATTTGGGTCATTTTAGTTGACTTTGCTTATAAGACTGAATGCTATTGATCAAAATTCAGAAGTATGATCAAATTGTGCCTCTCTCACAAAAATTTTACCAGCTGATTCAAACTTTGAGCATACCTTGTGTAGCTGCAATGCTGCTTATGATAGGTGCAATGTTGTATAGTTTTTTTTTTATTTATTTTTTATTCTATGTTTATAATTTCCATGTTATTGCATTAATGAGATAAGTTGGCTTGATAAATACTGTTATGCTTAATTGCTATGTACTTTCTTTGATAGAAGATTGTGGCTATGCATAAAGGGTCGGGGAATGCTCATTGTCTAAAGTGACTAACCATGATTGAGGAAATGTGGCTGGAATTTAGTGGATTAGATAAGGCTTTTATTAATTGATGATAACGTGGTTAGAATATGCAATCAGTAGTATCACTAGTATAATGTAACTAGTTTTAATTTATCCTTTCATTAAGTATTCATTGTTCTAATTTGGAACTTGTGATATTCTAACTGACATTAGTTAAGAGAATCATAATTTATGATGGTTGCTGCATAATGCATACTAGTTTTAATATTTGACTGCCCCTTGGACTCATTCTGTTTATTAGATGGTTCAAAGTCTGGTCATGGGCGAAGAGCTTAATTGCATGAAGGACAGTGGGATGACATCCATGTTATTGAGGTATGTCTACAGACTATTGATCTTCTACTTATTAACTACTCCCTCCGTCCCCAAAAGTTCGACCCTTATGGCCAAATTTTAGTCCCAAAGTGATTATGCCATTTGCATTAAAATATTCATCAATTTTGTTTTTCAATGTATTTTTATTACTTTCTCTCTCTACTTTTTTTTTAAACCCCATGTAAATTTAACTTTTCAATATAATTTTACTTCATTTTATTTAACTTTCTTAAGACCCACGAAAACAACACAAAAGGATCGTTCTTTCGGAGACGGAGGGAGTACAATTCTATGCAACCTCATTTTGTTTTAACATTTTTCTTTTCCCTTAGATGTTTCTCGATGTCATTTTACTCATCAAGCACCAAATTATTTCAATGATAATATAGGTACGACCTTAGGACGAAG